ACTGCCTGCGGCCAGCCCCGGCCTCCTGTGCCCGCCCAGCCCTGAGGCCCGGCCAGCAGCTGCTGGTGCCGAGCTCTGGAAGGGGCAGAGGACTGGCTGCCGCCTGGTGTTAAGAATAATATGTTACAGTTGCTGTTTGTAAACTCCTTATTTACCTTGTACCCCTGTCCCAGGTTTACTTACCTTGTACCCCTGTCGCAAATTGCTGTACCCCATATTTCTTGTTCCTTGTTCAGCCAGGCCCTGCCCCCTCTCCCAAGTTGCTGTACCCTGTGTTTCTTGTTCTGTGTTCAGCCAGGCACTGCCCCCACTGCTCCTAGACTCCCACATGGCAACACTGTACCCCTGCCCCGAGTTGCTGTACCGTCCTGAGGAGGAGGATGACATAAGGACTTTTATGCAAACGAGAGAGACCAGAGACTTATGGGATGCACCCAGACTGGAAAGAACCCCAAAACAACGAGCCACGCAAAAGGGAAGGAATAGAACCAGCACCATCTAACAAGGAAGACCACATAACCTCGAGGAGACTCGACTGGGATGACAGCCTAGACTACGAGCCCTGAAGAGCGAGTCTTCCCGGGGACTCCCGTGAGGAAGGAAGGCCCAGCTCTGCTCTAGTGACAGAGTTGCACGGATCGTCTTCTTCTGCAGTGTCCAGTGGGAGCAGTGGCGGTGTGCGCAACCCCTCGGGCCCCCGCCCCAGAGCTGTCCTGCTTAATAAAGGCCTTTTTAAAAGGAGCTGGTCTCCTGGCCCGTTTATAACACTGGGGAGCTGCTGTGCCGCCCAGCTCTGCAGCCCCAGTGGGCCCGGGCTCCATTGGCTAGTTGTGCTAGTATAAAAATCTTGGAGCTAACCCTTACCAACCCATAAATAACCAAAAATTCTATTGGGAACAACCAGATACAACATGTAACAAATAGAAAGCCTCTGATAGAATATATTAGATTTGTGAGCCAAGAGTGTATAGTGAATTACCTCAGAAGTGGAAAAGAGCCTGTACCTTAGGAGTTATACAACCCTCCTTCTTTGTTATACCGAAGTCCAGGAGCAATATGTTATCTATTGAATCGGTTCATAAGGTTACAAGCAGTTGTTAAAGTCGTTTCAAACCATACCTCTACTGCCCTAAAGTTGCTGGCCAAGCAACATTCACAAATGTGAGCATGTGTATATCAAAACAGAATGGCCCTGGACTATCTGTTAACTGAAGTAGGGGGAGTTTGTGGAAAGTTTAACAAATCTGAATGTTGTGTGCAAATAAACACACACAAATAAATGATCATGGAGAAGCCATCATGAAAACTGCTGAAGAAATTAAAAGAGTAGCACGTCTACCTGTTCAAAAATGGAATTCTATTCTGAAGATTGATTGGTGAGATAACCTTTTTTAGAAGTACTTAGTGGAAAAAGTTAAAATTTATGATATTGTGTTTTACATTAAGATTATTGTTTCTGCCTTGTATGATTCCATGCCTTATTAGACTAATCCATTCAGTAATTCAAGGAATACTGAAGGAAAAGAAATTATAATAGTTCAAAAAAATGTTAACCAAATTTGAGAGAGAGTGCAAAAAACTTGATGCAGCACGAGAAATGTTAAAAAAATTAGAAATTGAAATAAAGTGAATGGAAAAAACGAGATTATTGAGAATATAAAAAAATACTAAGATTCAAGTTGGTTTTTTTTAAAAGCACGAGTCAGTGTGATCAAAAAGAGAAATGGGGGATTGTAGTAAATGGAAATGATTTGTGCTAACTAAATTGTAACTGATACTAAAGTTATTATTAGAAGCAATCAAAAGAATCAGTGTTACAAGACAGATGCACCACTTTACAGAGGTTACATGTTAAAATTGAGGTACAGGATGTAGTTTAGAAGATAAGTGATGTCCCAAGACGAAAATGGCCTTGAGATGGACAAAATTAGAATGACTTTAGGCATTGCATAACACAAGGCTTAGTATACACACGCAAACCTAGAAGGTTATCCAGAGGACAATGAGGAAGACTAGAAGCCTTCGCCAAAAGACCACGAAAAGAAGACTGAAGACCCCCTAACAACAAGTGAGGCATGCGCCATGAAGAATAGTGACGTAAAGTCAGAAAAATCAGAAATAGAAAACTTACGGGAAACATTAATGAATATGCATAAGCATACAGTATATGAGTTTAGCTTAAAGTGCTTTGTTTTGTAAATGAGACAGGGTGAGAAACCCTCTCCATACCCTGGTTCGTTTTGTACATGAGGTGGGGTAACAAGACCTCCCCGTACCCCAGTTGGTTTTGCTTATGCTTTAATCATGCTTAATTACTGGTAGATTATATATAAATTATAATTTTTGCTAAATTATATTATTTTACTAAACTGTATTCATTTGTACCAAATTACTATTCAATTTACTAAATTATATTCATTTTTAATTAAACTGCCATTAACCCACAGGACTTAGTTGACAAAATTCTAATTTCATTTCTAACAAGGGGATTCACAGAGCTCATTCTGCTGGAAGGATGAGGAAAAGGGAGTGGGAACTCAGCAGTGAGGAGAACTGAGAGCTGGAGAGCAGCTCTGAATGACACTAAAATCCCACTGGACCATTGAAACATTGCTGTTGTTTAGCCAGTGACAGGGTGAGTCCCTGAACCTGGGGCTTGGCCTTCCTCATAGTGAGCGGCATCAAGGAAGGCTTGCAGTGAGATGGAGACTGTGATGGGCTGGGAACTCACTGGGGGAAAGGAGGGAGCAGTTGTGAAGTAAAAGATAGGTGGGAGACAGAACTATTCAGAGAAGGGCTGAGCTACAGCTTGAGCAAGATGAAAAATGTCATTTGGGGTCATCCCAGATTGATTTCATTTCAGAAGTTATTGAACAAGTTTATTTTTGGGGGGTGTCATGTTTTCCCTTGGAGGTGGACACTCTGCAGACTTGAGCTGCATTGCCAAAATGCTCAAGTCTCTGCTGCAGGTCACAGCGTTTCTTCTTTGGCTGATCCCGGCCTGCTCAAGTCTCTGCTGCAGGTCACAGCGTTTCTTCTTTGGCTGATCCCGGCCTGGTGCTGTGCCCAGCAGAGCCCTGGCAGAGCCCAGAGCAGCCTCAGCATCCGCAGAGCCCGGCTGCAAGGAGAGAAACCAGAAACCGTCTGTCAGCTGAAGGCTCCTGTCCCCTTGTCCCAGCCACCCGCGGTGCCCAGGCCATGCTGGCCGTGCTCAGAGCTGGGCCCAAAGCTGCCCATCACTGCTGCCTTTGGGAGCAGAGCAGGAGGGCAGGACATGTGCCCAGCCTGCAGCCAGCCACAGCAGATCCAACCCCTCAGCAGCTGCCCAGAGCGGGATGCTCCTGTGCCTGCTGCCATCTCCCAAAAGCTCTTGTCCCACCCATGCCAAGGAGATGAGGACCCACCTCACACCATCTGCTGCCAGAAGAAAAGCTGGTCCCAAACGATGTCCTCAGCCTTCTCCAAGGGCACGGCCCATCCACACCACACCAAGCACTTCCCGATCCAGACTGGACCCCACCTAGAATTCTTCCTTTAGAAAAACAAACAACAAATTAATGAAAATAGGTTATAGACAAAAAGGGGAAAGAAGAAAAAAGGTAAAAAATCTTATGTCTGTCAGGAGTTTGAGGAAGGCCCAACCCCTCCATTCTAGGGAAAAACCCACCCATGGGTGAGGGAAGCCCATGCTTTCTCCCTTTCCCCCTGCACTGTCCCCCAAAATCACGGTGATCCCAAAGCAAAGCAGGGGAGTGGAGCAGCCCAAGCCCTTCCTTGCCTGCACAGCAAAGCAGCCGTGCTCAGGTTCTGGAGTCCCACCTGTGCTCCTGCCATGGGGGTTTGTTTGTGTTGGGCTGGCTGCCCCAGCCCCAGCCCGGGGCACGGTGGGTGCTGGGGGCTGTTGGCAGG